TCCTTCACTCCACCCTACCCTTTCAAAAATACGCTTACAAGCTAATTAGCTTAGCTCTTCACACTGTCACCGAGTCGACACTCACTACTCCTCCCCTCCCCAAAAGTGGCGTTGGTCGTTCTTACTTTGACTGCTTTATTAACTTCCTTTTAAAGCTGTGTAACTGTTCTCTCCCCTACCCCATCCTCAAGTCATTTGCGCCAATCTTTTTTCCCACAATCTCTTGTGATTTGTGGGTTTAAACTTGCCTTAGGCTTTTGATTTTATGCCTCTCATCCTGTAACTTGACGTTATAGCATATTTTCATTTGCGTCAGGTAAAGTGGAAAGGTTTGTTGCCTTTTAAAGATGGGCATGGTGGCCGTTGGAGTATAGGCTCTTGTGAAAGCAGTAAGACGAATGATGAAGATGCAGCGCCCACAGACTGCCGCATCGACCCGTGGACGCTACACTTGCCTTTTGCGTGCGCACGCGGGCGTGCTGTGCCGTGTTCCGTTGAACCCCGAGGTCGTGTAGGGTGAGGTATACATCCACCCGAGTATAACACAAAGTGTGGGGATGACCTCGCACACGCAGACCTTAGAGGTGTACGACGATTGCTGTGAGGACGCGACCTCGTGAAGTGCGTGCGTTTGTGTGCTATCATGTTTCTACTTGCCTTTTTGGGTCTCTGCTTCACAATTGAAACTGCTTTCCCGACCATCACTTTGTTTTCATCACTTCCCATCCACTATCTTGGACTGTCTGTCAGTAAACATCTGTCCAAACATCCCTCGATTCTTCAGTGGACCTGTCTATCAACGCACGACGAACGCTGGGGCTACGAGCATCTGTGGCGATAGTGTGCATTTGCTTTGTGTATGACTTAGTAAAGAGCGAACAATGTGCCCCCCGCTAGCGAAATATTTGTAAGGAACGGGTATTGGTAAATCTAGACTGCATTCAATGTGCTTGACTGCGCACAAGTGGAACTGAACCTCATATCTGACTAAACTCATTTTGAGGTGATCCTTGTTGAGAATCCGGGTGAACACTTGCCTTCCCTCCGCATATGCTACCTTTATTGGGAAGTTTTCATTCGTAGTTCAAACCGCGTCCTTGTGTCCATTCACTTCTCTTACTGTTGGGTAGGTGCGTGTCCAAATTGTCCCTTGCCATTGCATTACTCGCATGGATATCGCTACCAGTTTTGAGTGGTGTAGCGCTTTCTTACGAAACCGCTTGTGCGCTTGTGACCTCGGATTCTGTGTATGTATGCCTGTAGTACGCGTGTCCTTATGAGTTCACACGGTTTCCATATTTGCGTGTGCAATTCGTCGTTTTCTGTGTTAACTTTGTACCTCTCAGTTCCTCACATAATTCTTCCTGTTGAGGCCATCTGTGATATTGAGTCTAACTCTTCCACATCGCTATTCCCCATTCAACTCATATTTTGAGTAATGGAGGTTGGTCATACTACTAGGGTCATGGTCGGACCAGTCGCAGGACAACAGTTGTATCCCCAAGTTTTAGCATATTTTGATCAGTCACTTTCCAAGTTGGTAGGAATTTTGTGTCCTCCGAAGCTATCTACATAAATATGGCTTTTTATCTACACTAGGTCGGTTCGATGTTTTCCTCATACCGAGGCTTCATAATTTTGGAAAATAGCGTACGAAAGCGTTTTGACTACTTCGTCTCCTCCCCATACCAAATATGCCGTTCCTATCCGGTTCGCCTTATCTGCTTATCTCTCTGCTTCCGCTCTTATCAAACACCCTCCCTCTTTCCTTCCTTTCTCACTGTTGCTGGCCTTAGTGCCAGTTCCGGTTTTATGATCAGAGATTTTAGTTCCGCTTTTACGACCATAAAGTGCTCACTCACTTGCCTCTCGTTCAACTACCTACACACCCACCCGCTCTCTCCTTGCGTTTGACATCTTTATTACTTGACTTATGTCCCCGCTCTCCTTGCTGCCTAGTTTTTTGGTTGACGACTTGCTCTTACGACTACCAAAATCGAATTGGCAATAGTACAGATATTTATGGACCCGGTCTCGAGCTTCACTGGGCAATGACTCAAAAACACTGGTGTTTTAGTTTTTTTTTTCTCTGTATCAACGTTATGGCGCTGGTCGAGCTCGAAAAGTGGTTTTTCATATTTATCGAATCGCAGATTTTAACGTGATCCGATGGCTATCTTTATTTAGTGAAATGAGTCCCAATGGAGCCCAGTATTGGTTTCTTTCCTTTAATGGCAACTGTTGCAGGTGCATCAGAAATAGTAACAGAGGCGTACCTTGTGGTAGTCTCGTGTCTTCGACATATGACACGGTTGAGTGTTGATTATCAAGCTGGATCTGCATCACGCCGATGTAATATTTTATTTTACAATGGATTACTGGCGTTCACCAATATCTCTCGAATAGGAACTTAACGATGTGTGTCGGTCTTTGCCGTCATTTAATTTCGTATTCCACCTGTGATATAATTATTTGTTTTGACGTTTGAGTGGAATTTCATCCCACCTCTGATTAATGCGGTTCGAGTCTCGGCAATTGGGCTGTTTCATCCATTGGAAAGATCTATCAAAACTATTCAAAGTTGGAATCGCTGTTTCTTTTCACTTTTATACTCCAACATCAACACGAAACGGCTTATGTGTTTCGCTATTATTTCGCCTTGTTTTTTGCACTAATGATGCCGCTGTTCTCCTTTTGGAATTCACTGTGTGGACACTTGTATTGTTTTAGTAGTTGATGGGTTTTGTGATCTTTACGATTCAATGAGTGGCTCGTATTTTGACTTTATTCCTTTTCTTCAAATCTTTCAAGGCGACAGGTTGACCCAATTTCATCGAAACCCTGGTTAGCTAACTTCTTTCTTCGACAATGCGCTGTCATATGTTTGATTTCGTGATCACAACTTCCACTACCATGTCCTCAGCATCTATCCAGAATAGTGGGATAGTGGCTTTTTTATTTAGAACATTTTTCATGGTGTTAAGTTGTATAGGCCCCAGTATTTTGTGTAGATTTCCTTTTCTATCGAGTCATTTTCCACATTTCAAGTGTTTGGCGGGTAGAATGGTGGTGACCTACGTCGGTTTAATCTCAGGTTTTTGCACACATTCCACCATCCACTAAGATTATATTTCTGCTTGTTAATTTGATTCGGCTAAAAGCACGAAATGATTTTTTTATCACAGATGCATTATTGGTGGTGCTTACACTTGATCCTTCCTTCAGGTTGTTAACTCTTATTGAAACAAGGTCATTGTCACAGTTGAGGCGTATGATACTCCTTGTCTGTTGATCTAGCATAGAATTGCGTTGGTGGTTGTTGGAACGTGGAATTCGTGCGCTTGGTGGCACACACGCAGCTAGCCTCTTGCTATCCCTGTGGTCGTGGGTAGGGGCGTGTGCAGCTGCTGCGTGTCGCTAATAAGTCACGTCAACCGCTCCGCTGACATGCCCACACACACACGCACACTTGTATTCACATAGGCACGAAGTACACGGCTTCGACACACCTCCACCAGCCCCACCACTGACACTCACATTATAGGTAGCCCGTAGCACAACCACTACCGCTGCAGCTATCATTTTTCTGACTCCAACGCCTGGAATGCAGTAGCGCATGTAGCCAGTCTTTCACTGCCTCCGCTCAGCTCATTTGGCTGTTGCCAGTATTTCTTATCCGTAATGCGCTTCACCTTTGGTGTACCTGCCACTTGCGCTTGTCTGATGATCGGTAGCGTTCGCAGTTCAAATTCCGCTACCACTATCAAATGTTTTAAGACCAAGTCAGTCCACTGTAACGCCTTTTAATCTTCAAGAGGCTTCTTTGTACTAGCGACTGCACTTACATTTGAGATTGCCTTGGCCTGATGTGTGCATGTACGTGTGTATGTGGTAGGTTATTTTAATGACACAAATGCCTAATCATTGCTACCGTTGCGGGTGGGCCACTCACCCATTGTTTGTTGAGATTATCCTTCTTGCGCTCATATGGATGTAACGCCACTCCATCAAGTTCATCGACAGCTCTTTCACTTGTTGGGCTGCTGATGATTGCCCCATTACTTTGAAATCGTGATTTCGACTTGGACCACTCGAAAGGCCAGTCCTTTCACCCTTATCGCTTATATGGTTGTTCTCAAGCCTCCCTTGCGTTTGTCGCTATTATGGCAAAGCGTCTCATAGTACACGAAGAATTCAAAAACTGGTAATTTTTGGCTCACGTATTTTTGGGATGTACCACAACTCTACTTGCACATGTGTGCAAGGGTAAGTGTTAATAGAAAATGTCACTTGAACTTAATTGACCGTTTTTTTCTTTAAATACCAATATCCTTTCACTTGTAAACTTTCATTAGCTTGAATAAATGCCAACGGGTACATCATTCATTCTATGTTCACTGCGAACCTTGATTGTAATCCCATGCTTCACGGACCAATCTGATATTCTGCGGCTTTCATTCCTCTCCTTTACATCAGGCGATACCCACATGCTCATGTATTAAAAATGTGTGTTGCGTTTTACGGCGGTATTATGGGCCTTTCATCGACCTTACATAAGCTATTCCTACCTCTAACCAATGCAAATAGGCAGAAACTTGTCCAAACTGTGTGTTCACTTGCTGTTACCGCCATAAACACCTACCAACTATCGTAGGTTTACTTCCTTCATGATAGCTTGATTCATCTAGAACTTTTATCAATTCGAAAAACTTATGTAAAAAAGGTATACTTTCATTACTTGCCAAAAACGAACTTACACCTCAATGTAAGCTGTGAACTGCTGCGATTCCCTCGGTTGCACTCATGTTTGGGACTTCACATCAACTTCTACGTGAAATTCCTTTTACTTCTAAGAATTGGTCTAATTTGTGAATCCTTACTGATATGAAGGTTTGCATTAGTGAGCGTTATAAATAGCCGTCTCTGGAGGTCAATGCAACTTGAGTTAATTCAGATCAAGTGGCTGATTATGCACTTCCAATCTGCAGCTTATCACAGACATGGCGGGTTCTCGAGGTGGTCAAGGTCAGTTTATGTCGCTGAGCGGGCTCTCGGACCCCCAGGCTGCTGCTGCAGCTGCAATGAAGTTCCACCTTGCCATGACTTCGAACACCGGCCGTACGGGCGCTGGTACCACCGTCGCCACTGGCGCTGATACCTTTGATCACCCCGCATCACACCACCGTCTGCCACCACCGCCTTCGGGTCAGTTTGCACCTCCCGAGGCACCCTTCCTGCCCGAAGTGAGCTCTGCCGCTGCAGCTGCTGCAGCAGCCGCAGCTGCGGCAGCAGCAGCTGCTGTTCCCTTCCTTGATGCCAGACTTCCTCGACCAACAGCCTGGCAACAGCAACAGCAACCGCAGTCCCTGCCTCCCCTTCCACCACCTCGGCTCTCCTCAACACCCTCCGAGACCGCCAAATCTATCGAGGTAGATGTCGCTTTTCTGATTCTGCCGTGACATGCAAAGCGATGATGATGATATCTTTTAGTCTGGCTTTTTCCTTCGCGAAAGTAAATGGCGAAGGAGGAAGGGATAGCTACATCATATGAGATGATCTCTTAGGAGGGAGAGGAGAGTGGTATAGCTTGCGTGCACTCCTTTCTCTTGCTTAACTCTGGGTTGATCAGATATATGGGTACCGTCGTCTTTCTCTTCAAAGTTTGTGCTTCACACATCTCACGCAAAGTTGGCGTTGATGCCATTGAATAGCTGCACCGACCCCTACTTGACTCCATGCTCCGTATGCGTTATCTGTGGCTGCAATCGCAGTGCCTTTCGTCGCATCACGAATACTGCTCCCATCTCGTGGAGTATTTGTCACCTTCACAATCTCTTATCCTTTTCGTCCATATATGTGATTGGTCACCCTAGTTGACTGTGGTTTGTAAGTGAAAATTTTGGAA